ATCACAGCTGAGTCATCTAGAATTACCGTGATCACTTTTTCTTTCTTGCCCAATCTCTTGTTTTCCTTGGAGTTCGTCTCTTGGTTTCCCAGGTACTTGTCCATAATTCAATCCCAACTCCTATCTAACTAGGTTCAGAGGCAAGTAGTCTAATTAAGACAGCTCCTCTGGAGACTCCTCACATCTCAAGTAGACCGGGTGCCTTCTCTGCCGGTGCACAGCTGCCATCCTGGAAGCTTTCTCTATGCTCCTGGGGAGTCACCTTGCTCCTCTTTGTGTTGGATCCCTCATTTCTTGTATACCATGTTTTCTTCTTTCTTGGTTTACTCCCTCATTAAATTAGGTAAATTTCTATTTTCCTAAGGAGGAGTACCTCCTCAAGTAGTTTCCTAAGAAAGGGTGTGTGGAATTTTTAAAGAAACTACAAGTCTTTAGCTTGACTTTTAATCTAGCTGGATATAATTTTCCTTCAGAATGCTGAAAGCAGAAGTCCCCATTCCTCTATTGTCCACTGGGGGCATTTGAGAATTCCAAAGCTGTTCTGATGCCTGATACTTTGGGTCTGTCCTGTGTATTCTCTCCACAGTTGTAGAATCGTTTCTCCTGTGTCCTGAATTTCCACAGCGATGGTCGTGGCAAGGGTCTTTCTTCCTCCATTGTTAGTACTAGGTTGGCCCTTGTAATTTGGAAACTCACAGCCTTCCTTCACAGAATCTTCTTGAATTATTATTGGAATTCACTCTAAGGCGTGTGACCATTTCTTTGGCCACGTTCAGTATTGGTATCTTTAGGTTTTACTTTTTAGGCTGGTGAGATTCCCCAAGAAGTGGGAGTTTCTGCTTTATTTCCTGCCTTGGGGATACGAGCCTGATGACCAAGCTGAGGACTTTACATTCCGAAGGCTGAGTATGGCACATGTCCTTCCAGTCTTCCACTGGGCTGGTGCAGGCACAACTGCCCAACTATGTGGAGAGTCGTACCTGCTTCTTCACCAGGCTTTTGGCCAGTCCTCCTGCTTTCACCCTTTTTCACCACCACTTCTAGGGGTACCTGGAGCTGCCAATTGCAGATTTGCAATAAAATCAGATTCTCACGTGTTCTCCTTTCTTTCTTACAATGTCGTTTTCTTGGGTGTTTCTACGTCGGTTACAATTCATCTGTTTTCTTGAGAGGTTCCAAATTTTGTTGCTCTTCATAGTCATCCTAGTGGATTTATGCTTTTTAAAAAGTAAAAATTTCCTCTCGGTGCTGGCCCAGTGGCGAGTGGTTAACATTGCGTGCTCCACTTCAATGGCCGGAGGGTTCACAGGTTCAGATCCCAGGTGTGGACCTACACAAGCCATGCTGTGGCAGCATCCCACATACAAAATAGAGGAATATTGGCATAGATGTTAGCTCAGCAACAATCTTCCTCAAGCAAAAAAAGGAGGAAGATTGGCAACAGATGTTAGCTCAGGGCCAATCTTCCTCACCAAAAAAAAGTATAAATTCCCTTTCATTTTAATAGAATTTCAGGAAAGAGCTACAGTAAAGGGACACATCTAGCTATATGGAAGGCTGGGAAATGAAGACTTTACTCTGGGAATTCAAGTGTCCAGCTAAAACTGTGGGTTCTATTATCACAGTTGGAGACAATGGAGAGTGAAGGAAAACCAGTGATCTCTGCCACACAAATCCAGCTGGTTTTGAGGTAGAAAGTGAGATGTGATGTGAAAACAGCTCTTCTGAGTTGCGGCCTAGGCATTTCACAGGATGACAACCCTGCTCACACAAGTCTCAACAGGGGACCTGAGCTTAGGACCCCACAAGGTCCCGCTTTGCTTCTCTAGGGACACCTTTTAACATAACCACTTAGAGTTGAGCCCACGCAAAGTTAGTGACCTGCGCCCCAAGCACCTTATAAGTCATAGGTGCTGCTACCCTGCTCTCCATCTCCTGCTCGCTTGTGACCTGGGACAGAGGACTGCCCCTCCCTGGGCTCATTGCGCCCACCATCCCACCCCGTTTCTAGGATCTGTAAGTAATAAATCTTGTGACTTTACTTCCTTCATTTGGGTGTACTGAAACTATGCCTTCAATCAAAACAACCCTGTGGTTCTCACTTCCCCAAAGTGGGTGCTCGGAAGCTGAGGGAGCTCCCTGCCGACCCCGGGTAGGTGGCCTGTGCCTCTTCATTCGGCAGATCATAATCTGCATGTTCTTAATTTAATACACCAGCCCTGGCCTCTCAACACGAGGTCACCTTTTCAGTAGAGCAGGAGAGGTGTGTGTGGGGTGGTGGTCAGGGTGGGAGGAATGCAGAAAATATCAAAAATAGCAGATACAGAGACATGCTAGGGAGCCAGTGAGAGCCGAAAAAATGTCTTTATTTCATTCATTCCTGGGTCCATCCCAAAGCTTCACACCTCACCCTCCCACCGTCAGAATAAGTGACATACAACAGGGGCCCAGACACAATGGTCTTGCCCAGTCCATCCCACCTCCCCAGCCGCAGAGCGCGGCAGAGACGATGCCGCCTCACCTGAAAGCCATGGGTTAGAAACACTTCTAGGGACACGCGCTCTGCAAACCAGAGACCCACAAAGTAAAACAGGCTCCTGGGCACTTTAAACCCGTGTGACAATTTGGGTGCCTCCCTAGAGTGCCAGGGTCCCCCAGAGCACTTCAAAACCCCTGTTTTAGATAAGTCCTTCTATCCAAATCATTAGAAACTTTCCAGAGAGCCAGTCTCTTCTACCTGAAATGTGCATACCAAGATTTCACATGACCAATTCTTCTACCCATTAAGATAAAGAGTCCACAAAATTAAGGCATTTGGGGGGAATTAAAGGGGCATAAAGCATTTATTAAAGTTACAATAACATATCAAAGATGTCCATCATATTTTTGAAAGCTCTTAACCACGCACGAGTGCAGGAACAGCCACGGTCCCCGCTCCTGTGGGCACACACACATTCAGTACTGAAGCCGAAAGGAGAAACTGAGGGTCGACGGTGAGCATTCTCTTCAGCACGTCTCCAGGCACAGGCACATGTGCCTGTCACACCCCGTGCGCCCAACACCAAGCAGAAGCCATGGGAGCGGTGCAAACACTGCAGGGCAGAGAAGGGGCACTGCTGGCTAATTACAGCCACAGACTGTGACTTTATACACACGAGAGCTGTGTCCATCACTGCCACACTCAGACTGGATCTATGCACATTCGTACATCACTTGGTACACCTAAGAGATCTGAAAATAAAGCAATTTAAAAAAAGAAAAGACGACCATGCATTCCGGACACTGAGCAATTACATGTTAAGGCAACGAAAGTCACCCCTCCCCACCCACTTCCCCATCTGATTATCTGCCTAGAACGTATAGTATGTATTCAGCACATCACTGCACTTCACAATCGGCACGTCCCTCCCATGGCCTTCTCCTGGGACATGATCCCAATAACCACTGATGCACGCCTATCAGTTACTTTAATCGCCACCAAGGGAGTCAGGTCAGGGGGAGTGAGGGAGGAGGGAAGTGAGGCCTGAGCCAGGGAGAAAGAGAAGGTCACGTGTCCAAATGAGGCACCGCCAGGAGGGAGATCCAAGCCGGCAGGGAGTCCAGACCACTGAGGATGGTTACTGAGTGCCTGGCAGGCAGCCAAAGATGCAGGACCAGGAGCCTACAGCCCCAGCGCCAGAAGACCCACCACTAGCACCATGGCCAGCATACGGGGTACTGCAGGTGTCCAGCCGAGAAGGCCCCACAAACTTCCTGGGAATGTTTCTCAGGGATTCAGGAGTGGCCAGAGGCCGCTCACCACAGGGACGTTTGTTCCATCCTCCCCAGGACACAAGCCCACAGTTCCTAACACCACACAGTGACCTCAGAGCTTGTGCTCGGACTACCAGGCAGCAGGAGTGCTGCGATACCCTTCAACACTGTGCCAGCTGGTTTAAGAATCCAAGAGGAGCTTCTCATCTTGACATAAACAGACACTATAGCTAGAGAGTGGGTCCCCGACACTGGGATTTCAGAGACTGGCAAACTTAAAAGGAATTCTGGGGCTTGACAAACGGGAGCCAACATGTTGTTTTGCAATCAAGAACATTTTAAAAAATAAAAATATTGCCCTCTATTACCACCTTCATTACATAAAAGGACATCTTATCACCCAAATTAGGAAGGACATAATCTCAGAATAAAAGACAACCCTTGAAGTTGAGTGAACTTGACTTCATAAATTATTTCACGTGTCCTTACACTTCTGACCTGCACGGAGCCCTCTGTCCCGAATGCCTGTGCTGTGGGTCCCCATGACACTCGCTGCCCCAAGGGGCAACAAGGTCAAAACATCTCCAAGGTCACAGGCTCCTCCAGCACGGCCATCGCCTCGAATGCATATCCACTGAGAAGAGGGACAACAGTCACGATGACAGCAGTTTACATGTCACAAGGATTACTCAAGCAGAAAGTGCTTCCACATACATTCTCTCACGCGTCCTCACAGAAGACCTGTGGGGAAGGCACAGCCGGAAGCCACGGCACTGTAACGGGACCTGCCCGAGGCCACGCGGCAGCAGGCAGCAGAGCACAGACAGAACGCTTCTCTCTAAGGCAAATTCTCCTTTGCTCAGTCTGATGTTTGCTCCATGTTCCTCTATTTCTACTTGTGCATGAACTTTTTATCTGAAGAAACAATTCATGGAAGAAGGAAAAAGGAAAACTTAAAACGATGGCACTTAAGCCTGATAACAGAAACATATTCAACATGAGGAAACTGCTAATTGTCCTTTCTTTTTAAAATTACCTGTTTAACAACTGCATGTTGGCTAAAATTTATGAAATGTCAAAAGAGAACATCAAAAACCAAGCATCGCTGCCTTAAACCTTTTCTGGAACAAGACAGGGCATAAATAAATAAATATATAAATAACATAAGTAATATGAATAGATATAGATATGTGTGACATTGGTGGGTTTTGGAAATATATTCAAAAGCCCCACACAGGTCGCCAAATTCTCAGAGGTATCAATACTGCCCCACCCCCACCCTGATCCTGACCCTGGCCCAATGTCCACAGCAGCCAAGGCCCAGAGCACAGGACTCTGTTCCACAGCCAGCAGGCACCCCAGGAGTGGTGACGGTCGGGACACTCCTGGGATCAGGCTGGGGAAACACTCAGCTCTTCCCACTGGCCCATCGTGTCCCTCCCTGGGGTCCCCGAGTCCTGGGGAGGGCACGAGGCCAGGCAGGCAGCAGCCTCCTTGAGTACCACATTTCCTCACTACACGGGACTCGGGCACCCAGCGGCCTAGAAACAGACTTGATAAAGTGCTCCAATGGAGAGTTACTCTTTCCTGTTCTTGCCAACAAAAGCAGAAGGGAGCTTTAGGCAAGCGTCACTGCAAACAAGAAGGAATGGCCTGAGGCAGCTATCTCCACTGTTATCAGATTCACATTTGGCAGCTATGAAGGTTCAAAGTAGAGGCTGAAACCCTGAAGTTGCGGGGATGCCAAAAAAATCAGCAAAGGCTGGCCGAACAAAGAGTAAGCCGATGTGTCCTCTGCAAAGGAAGAGCTGAGGCCCCAGGTCCCTGCAGACCCACCCGGCGCACAGCACACTCCAGGGCCAGAGCAGGAGAGGCCCTACTCCCTGGCTCATCCCCTCCCCACTCACACTACCTCCCTGGCCAGGTCTGGGCGAGGACCAACAATGAGCATCAACTCAGTCCACTGCTTCTAGAGAGACCCTGGAGAAATGATTTGATCCCCCAGAAACAAGCCCTACGCTTGCTTCACTGGGCAAAGGAGCCTGACGCCCACTCTTTGCTGGGCCCGGTCCTGGACCCTTGCCTCTGTGCAGCCTGAAGGCTATGCCAGCACGTGTGAGACTCCTGCACTGGCAGTATTCCCAGGTGCTGCTTTCCAGAAGGTTCAAGAACAGAGCCACCCTCCTACCCGTGGCAGGCACGGGGAAGCCCTGTCCCTCACAGGCCCAGCAGAAAGCACTGGGCAGGCAGACTGACAGCCTGCTGCAGGTCTACGACACGGCTCACCCGAAGAGAGCCCGAGCCAAGAGGGCAGCAGAGGAGGGGACCGCCAGTCGGAAGAGCTTAAAAGTAAGGTACACTAGCCACCCACTCCTGAAACCCTCTCTCACCAAGGTGACAAGCCACTGCTCACACCTCCAGCGACATGGAGCCCCCTCCAGTGACCCAGTTCCACCTATGGGTGGCTCAGACTTCCATACAACCCCTCCCTATATACAGGCGGAGCCCGACTTCCCCAGTTCCTGGCCCAGCCACGGCCCAATTTTGGTCCTGGTTCCACGCTGAGTGCCTCGAAGGACACACACACCTAGCCCCCTCCTGGGCTGAAGCCCCTGCAGCACTTGGCTCTGGCTGCAGCCTCCTCAGCCGGCCTCCATCCTCAGCTCCTCTCCTTTCTCAGGAGGACTCTCCTGACTTCACTATGACCGACCCTGAGCTCTGAATGCACCCAGCCAACCAGGGCCCCGGTCCTCTAGGAGCAACACAGAGCCAATCCCAGGCCTCAGGAAGCTATCACACATTTATGCCACGGTCACAGCTGGGAACGATGTCACTTCGGCTGAGTAAAGCCTCCAGTGACCGCACCTTCCTCTCAGAATCTGCCAAGGACTTCTCCCCTCAGACCTCATACATACGTGGACAGGTCAGAGCCCATCCACGACACAGGAGGGGAGCTTTACAATTCTGTCCTCAAGCTGCACAAGACAATGACCAGACAGTCCCTGTCTGGTCAGCTAAAACATATAATGATGTCATAATTAAATAAACCCATATCATTAGTTCAATGGTTACAAATTAGATTTCTCTTATTATAGAAAGTCTAAACGCAGATTTGAAATCTGCCCATTTCTAAACACTTCTAAAGGTTAAAATCACCGTGGATCCACACAATGGTCCTCACAGACTTCCAATGACCACACGTGGTTTCTCTGGAAACAGCAGCGCCTGGAGCGAGCGCTCTGAAGAGGCAGCGCTGGCCCACGTGCACTCACAGCCACATCCCCAGCTGCACCCAGGTGTGAGAGTGAACCCCGCCCAGAGCCCCAGACTTGGGGAGGATAACCCATGCCATCTCTCTCCTGCGCAGCCACCCCAACAGGCCAGGGGAAAACTTCTGACCTCACTGCTACCCTCTTTCTCAGATTCCAGGAGCAACTTGCAAGACATTAGGTCCAAAAAAGCGAAGAGTGATCAACCAACCGCCAGATGTTTTGTCCACTCGACACCAACAACTGAAAGCTTGGAACCACGCAGAGGACAAGTGAATTTCCACTTTCTGGTAAGTGCAGGGACCAGGAGCGCTGCAGGTATTTTCTTCCGTGAGAACTGGCAGTGGATGCTGTTGGACGGTCCTTGGTCCAAATGTAGGAAGTCAATTACGGGCTAGTTTGGTGTGGGCCTCCTAAAATCAGTCACCGTCTGGAAGCTCCCCAGGTGAGATGGCAGAGGACTCATGAGACCTGGTGGCATGATGCTAGGCACAGTTAGGTGTCAGCACAGGTGCAGCGTGGTGGAACCTTGAGCGTTACCTCTCTTGATTTTGAATAAATGCAGGTATCAACTCTGAGATAACCCAGCCAATCCATGCGGCCAGGAAACCATCCTTGAATGAAGACAATGATTATGACACTCTCACCACTAGGAGTGAACACCGAAGTGGCAAGGAAGAAGAGTATGTATGACAAATGCCATGTGTCAACCCCAGGAGATGGGAAAACAAACTAGCAAGTTCATGAACTGCATTTCTGCATTCTACTCTTTTACCAAAACTCTCTTTTCATTTGGGTATTATAAAACTTTAATTGAACAATTAAAGTGAGAAGTAAAAATATAAACAGAAGCACAGTTCTAGAAAGTGCTAGGGGTCTTCCCTACTGGGGATATTAGCAGGCCTCCAACCCCCACCTGCACCCATTTCAAGGCCCCTTTCATTAATATGCAACTGTGAAAATCCAAAACAGATATTATGGAAGAACAAAATTAAGTTTTGCATGAGCCTCTTGGCTGACAATGACCCAAGGACTGTGTGATGCCCCGACCAAGCACTTGAGCTAGAATTAGAATCCACGAGCCGTTCCTGCTCTACCAACAGCCAGATGGGACTGAGGCAGCAGCCCAGGACGTGGTTCACGGGCGAGAATCGATGTCAGCTGTCCCTGCAGAGCGCCTTCTTCCTCACCGCAGTCAACGTCTGCCCTTGACTTCTACTCATAAAGTAGAAACTTCTTTATGGGGTCTGGCAGAGGCAGCGAAGGAATCAGATGGAGTCGGTATTTGCCAAGAGCTCTTCTCACGGCCACACGGCACAGATTCAGCAAGGTCCTGGGGACACCTGGAGCACCATGGGGTGAAAGGGAGAGACAGAGGTTAATTCTTCTCCTAACTCCAAAGACCGAGCCTGGCTGTGACTGACAGAGAGAGCCGCATAATGCTCACTGCCAACCTCCCACGTTTAGAGTGAGGAGAGCGCCCGGGTGAGGAAGGTCTTATCTGCTCCTTCCATCTGCAGAAGGAGTGAAATCTTCATGACCTGGGGCAGCTGCTCACTGTGACAGCATCTCCTGAACTGTGTTTAATTGCTAGACAAAGAAATCAGAGCTGACCACTGAAGGCCCCGCCAGGTGTGAGCAACTGGCCATCAGCCCTGTCAGCCTCTGCTCTTGGTCAGTCCCAGAAGCTCCAAGGAGGCCTAGAGGAGATGGGCCAAGGAATAGATGAGGAGGCCAGGCTGACAGTTTTGCTCCAGGTCTCTGCCTTGTGAAAAACGCATGAACAAGACAGCTTTATTCTATCAGTGTGGCTCTATTGACCACTAACCAACTCTTGTGGGCAAGGCTCAACAGGAGCAGGTTTTCATGACTGGTCTAAGGAAATCCAACAAAAAAAACACAACAAACTAGGGGCCAGCCCGGTAGCGTAGCAGTTAAGTTCACATACTCCACTTCAGTGGCCTGGAGTTCGCTGGTTCAGATCCCAGGCGCGGACCTACACACCACTGATCAAGGCATGCTATGGCTGGAGTCCCAAATATAAATAGAGGAAGATGGGCATGGATGTTAGCTCAGGGCCAATCTTCCTCAGCAAAAAGAGGAAGATTGGCGGCAGAGGTCAGCTCAGGGCTAACCTTCCTCAAAAAAAAAACACAACAAACTAAAGTTCTGTGAGAGGTAAGGGTTAGGGAAGAGACTGTCAACTCAGATGCCCTCTAGACCCAGGTGGGAATGGGGCTGGTGTGGGCAAGTCATAGAGGGCGCACAAAGTCAATTTCTGAGTCTGGGAGAGAGCCTCTCACAGACCCAACCACCGATCAACTGCAAACATCTTGCTACCAATTTATTAATTCATTAGCAAAATCCTTCTTCATAAATAAGCAAACTACAGACTTTATTCTAACAAAAATTAGACTTATCAAACAATCCAAAATGATGGTATCTGAGTGGTACTGAAGAAAGGGAAGTGAGGAATCCTAGAGGATGGGCTTGAAAAACCAAATATAAGTGAAAGAATTTGGGGTCACAAAGCAGAGCAAAAGGGTAAAGAGGATACAATTCTAGGAACTTTGAAAACATGTGCTTTTACAGATTTCCTGGCATCAACTCTTCGCGTCTACGATTTTAAAAAGAGAACAACAGGGCCAGCCCCGTGGCCTTGTGGTTAAGTTCAGCATGCCCCGTTTCAGCAGCCCAGGTTCAATTCCTGGGCACAGACCTACACCACTTGTCAGCAGCCATGTTGAGACAGTGGCCCACATACAAAATAGAGTTGGCACAGGTGTTAGCTCAGGGCAAGTCTTCTTCCACAAAAGAGAGAGAGAGCGAGAGAGAGGGAGAACATCAAACTGGAAGGTCACCCTAGAAAATTCCTAGGGCTAACTGAAGATTCAAATCAAGCACTTAGTTGGAGGATTTTTTTTTTTAATTGCTACGACTTGGTTCATTCAATTGACCCAAAGAGACTACAAGTCAGAGCTGAACTCAGGCCACTTACTTCTGGCCTCTTTAAAGACCTGCAATGCCTCGGGGTCCACCTTCCTTCTGCCTCTCGACTCTGGGCCCAAGGATTCCCACTTCACCAGGTTCAGGTTCGCTCCAAACTCTACGAGCAGGCTCACA